AAACTTCCTCTTTTAAAGAAATTCCTTAATTCATTATACATATGATTTCCTATTTACCTTGTAATGGGATAGTAGAATCGCTATTCAAAACAGCTTCACGAACAGCATCAACACCGGTTTCCAATTTGACAAAATCGGATTCATTCCAAATAGCTGCAGTCTAAAAATTATAATAATAATAATACATACATACATACATACATACATACAAACAATAAATATGATTAGTTTTCTCCTATTGACAACACCTTGACGATAATAATAATAATAATTAATTGATATTTACCTTTACAACTTCTGCCATACCATTAGCAAATTCACGTTCAGGAAGAGATTGAAGGAAAACAAGGTCCATAAAAATACGTTTAGGTTGCCAAAAAGCACCAATTAAATTTTTGCCTGCAGGGGTATCAATAGCAGTTTTACCACCAATAGAAGAATCCACCATTGCAAGCAATGTTGTTGGAATCTGAACAAATGAAACACCACGCATAAAAGTAGCAGCAACAAAACCAACCAAGTCACCAATGACACCACCACCCATAGCCAAAAAGCATGTGTCACGCGTTACAGCGTTGGAAAGTAACCAGTCTTCAATGTCATCTTTGGTTTTACGCGATTTGGATAATTCCCCGGGTGGTAAAACACGAGTGAATAAACGAGGTTCCTTTGCGCCATTTTGTTGAGCCAATTCGCTACTGACTTTTTTGAAGACTTCAACATAGTTTGACAAGTAAAGGGGGGCCAAGTTTGTATCGGTAATAAGAACATAGTTAGATGCAGGAATTGAAGAGAGAACGTCTCGAATAATATATTCGGTAAGATGAAAACCGAGAATAATGGATTCTGAACCAAGAATTGATACCTTGGATACATCAGGATCCACTCTAGCCATGTTTTTGTTATTATTTTCCAAAAAAATAAGATACAAAAGGAAAGAAGTGTGTTAAGGGATAAGTACCGGGAAAGAAAAGAAAAGAAGTAGAAAAAAAAAGACGATCCTTCTGAGTTTTCTTTTTTGGCAAATCTATTTGATGCTTTTGATAAAGGATATGAGTCACAAATAACAACAACAAAAAAAAAAGTAAGATGCTGGTTGTCTGTTTTTAAATTTTTCTTTCAATCCAACACTGCCACACTTTGCATGCATCCCACTTCTACCCTCCCCCCAAAAAAATCTCGAACCCCTTTGAGTTTGTCACACACTTCTTTAACTTGGTTCTATTTTAATTTTAGTTTCCGTCAAATGTCAAAAGTACTGCAAAAGTTCAAGGCTCTCAAACAAAGATATCAATAAATCAGTAATAACAATAATAAAAAGGAAACTTCTTACATTATCACATCTACGAAGGCACCCTACATTACTTTTTTTCACTAACAAGAAAACAAAAAAAAAATCTTTCGACTAAAATTGCTATGGTCTGTGCGCACTTTTTGGAAGGAAAAAGAATACAACTCAGTTTTCTTTTGTTTTACTATATTATTTCTTCCTTTTCTTTTTTGTTATTATAAAAGTTAAATGATATTGCGCTGCTATCACTTGTTATTATTACTATCGCTACTATTATTACAAGCCCAATTAGTAGTTTCACAGTCTTCTTCTGAAGACAACGACGACCATGTTCCTGATAAACCTGCACCTTACATTCCACGACCTGTTGATTATGAAGGAGTTTTTAAAATACTTCATGACGAACTAAATGAACCATTGAATGGTGTTGATCGTGAATATTATGTTGCCATTGATGAAATTATTTGGGATTACACTCAATACTCTAATGACATTCCAAACAATACTGCTACTCATTTTTGGACTACTACTAGTAAGAACACACCTCTTTTTTTGTTTTGTTTTGTTTTATTTTTATCAGACGACAAAGACTATTTCTGTTTCGGTCAAAGCCCCCTTCCCTTCTTACTTCTTTCTCCCCCCCCCTTTTTTTATTTTTGAACCAGGCTTTTTATTATAACTATTATCAATAACAATAACAAACATCATATGTTAGGCTCAACCCAAGTTGGAAACAAGTATTATAAAGCTGTTTATCGAGAATATACAGATAATACATATACAACTTTAAAACCTCGACCTCAATGGCAAGGATTATTAGGACCTATTTTACGAGCAGAAGTCGGGGATACACTTCGAGTTCATTTGTGGAACAAAGCATCGCATGATTTTTCTATGCATCCTCATGTAAGTATAATAATTATTTATTTTTATTTGTTTATTTAACACTATTATTCTTTTTGGGCTATTTATAAATTCAAGAAAAAAAGGGGGATGTGGGGGAAATGGGAAATGTTTGTAAAATATATACGATTTATCACCAAAACTCTACGTTACTATTGTTATTCATGTGAATTCACATTTCTCTTTGTTTTTTGTTTTTTTTTTCATGTATACTTATAGGGAGTTTTCTATGAGTTTGAGATGGAAGGTGCCGTTTATAAGGATGCTACGGAGAACTCATTTGTAAAAGCGGGTGATAATTATACCTATGTTTGGCAAGTAGCACCTAGAGCTGGTCCAGGTCCAAAAGATGGAGATTCTCTTGTATGGGGTTATCATTCTCATGTCCATGAAGGTGATATGTAAGTCTGTTATTATTGCTGACGTTGTTTTCATAAAGCATATTGCTAAATAGGTTATTGGCTTTATGTTTATTTTAGTTTTAATGGACTTTTTGGTGCAATTCTCGTATATCGACGGGGCTTTTTGAATGAGACAACAATTGCTAAGGACGTTGTCACTGCCTTATTTGGTAATTACTTTATACTCTTTAACGAAACAATCCATATTTCTTCTTTTGTTGAACATCTTGAAGCTTATTATTAACAATACTATTTATAGCTATCAACGAAAACCACTCTCGTTATTTATCCAATACAGTACACAAACTAGCCCATCATGTAGATCTTGATCGTCTCAAAAATAACCCAAAGGCTATGCGAGAATTTCGACTATCTAATATCAAACGATCTATTAACGGAATGATAATGGCTGAACCATCAGACCTTATATTAAAACAAGACACAGTAACTCAATGGCATGTTCTTGGTTGGGGATCGTTTAATGATATTCAAATGATTTCATGGCAACAAGCTCAGGTTTCCATGTTTGATTCGCCTGTATCACAAATTCGACTATTACCGGCTTCATTTAGAACACTACAAGTGACACCGGGTACACCTGGTACCTTTCAATTTGGTTTTGTAAATGGTGAACCGGGTATTGAAGGAATGATCATGTATTACCATGTAGAAGAATAGCTTTTCAATAATTCAGTTCGCAAAAATTATACCCTTATCACACTTTTTCTTTTTCTTTTGTACACAGACGATATACTAGCAGTAGATTGACAAACAATGTATAATATACACAAAAACCGATTTTGCATTTGCTCTTTTTTTTATGCAATTCATCCCTTCTCCTCCATTCAATAAATTGTACTTTTATAATTCTAATCAATGTATGAAAAAACCTAATTTATTTAGTATAGAAACGATGGTTTTTTTTGTTGAGTTTTACTCTTGGTGCGTTGAATTTGTTGTGATCCTAACGCTTGTTGATGAGCCCACTGTGTTGCTAACTACTATACCGTCTTATATATGAATTATTGTAAATCAACTTATTGTCTATATCTTTTATATTTAATTAATAAATGCAGCTTGGCAGTTACACAAAATCGAACGAACTTGAATAACATTGCAATATTTTTTTGACAACTATAAATTTTCAGTTTAATGAACTGGATGCTTTTTAAAAGATTTGGTGAAAGATTTAAAATGCGACTTTTTATTTAGCACTAAATGGCTGGTGCTTCGTTGAGCCAGATGACCAGGCTATTTGCGTTCATAGATTATATACAAGAAAAAGCATATTGTTGATATAGATACTAATGGAATACTAGACTAGAAATTTTGCTGCTAAATTAAATTGCTCGAATATATGTTTCTCTACTATACTATACCAGTATATTGCCAACTGATGTCTTGGATAATTCATCATATGTATGAGAACGGTATAGGAGCAATGTAGTAATTATAAAATAAAGGTTCTGAGTTATTCACTGGCCACCCCATCTTTTATGTAATGAATAAAGATGACAAGATACTTTTCATTCCTTTTTGACGTTTAAGAAATAGTACCTTGGAAAGCTTTGACAAACGTTTTAATAGTAATTATTGGCTTGCCTATGCACACGGAATAGACAACATTATAATTGTAAGTATATAATTAAAAACATCCCTCCTGGCTGGGTTGGACAATAGACAGTTACTTTTCCAACATATATCAGATAAATATTGCTGGTTAGTAGCTGGTGTTCAATCACCTGATATTCTTTAAAGGATAAAAATAGTTATATCTTACTCGTTAAAAAGTTTCAGTTTATGAGATAATTTAAAGAAATGGGTCAAAAGTAAAGTAGAAATTTGTAGCTACACTATATCAGCTATATTTAAAAAAGAGAGACTTTAGAAAAAAAACAAGAAATTGATAGACTAAAACTACCAAGAGAAGATAAGAATGAGAGAAATAATAAATCGTTGCGTTACAAGAAGATAGTATATAATTCAAGCCGCAAAATGGTTAATAAAATGACATTTCAAGATATCATCCATGTAACAGATAAAGTTCTCAAAGTATTGTGTTATTTTATATAGCCACTACATGTTGAGCATTAAGTAGATAGTTATTAATAATGATCACATTTATAAAAAAAAAAGATGCCATTTAAGCGGATATTTGCAGAGTAAAATGTAGTTGTGCTCCATGAGTAGAGCCACGGTCCAAGACAGATACAGTAGGGACTATTAAAGTAGAGATGTAACAATTCTTGAAACAGATTCAAAATAAAAAAAAAGTCGACGTAGTAGTAGTACCCACCAGCCAAAATAATTCATGCGCAGCAAAAAAAAAAAAAAAAAAAAAAAAAAAATTACAGCGAAAAATCAAAAAATACTCTGATCTTTCGATCCAAGTATTCATATCAACAGGGCTCAACCGGGAATCGAACCCGGGACCTCTCGCACCCTAAGCGAGAATTATACCACTAAACCATCGAGCCGACTTAAAAACCTTGCTCGTAAAGAAGAGGATGAATCCAAGAAGTGTATATAAATAGAAAAAAATTGAATTTTATATAAGGAATTATAGGATATTTTTTAATTGTACTAATTAAGCTTAAATGAAATATATATTAAAATGTAGAGAAAAATTAGGGCTTTCGAATGGTATATATTAGAAAGCACACAAGCAAGTAGATAGAAAGGTATCGATTTTAAAAATATTTATTTATTATTATTTTTATGTATATAATATATATAAGATTTCCTAATTTGGTAATAGCCTTTGATGTTGCTAGGCAACGTGTAATTTCAATGGTAGCATTGAATACAGAAAAATTAGGGCTTTCGAATGGTATATATCTTAAAGAACACAAGCAAGTAGATAGAAAGTTATCAATTGTAAAGGTATTTACTTATTATTACTTTTATATATATGATATATATAATATGTCTTAATTTGGTAATAGCTCTTGATGTTGCTAGGCAACGTGTAATTTCAATAGCAGCATTAAATACAGAAAAATTAGGGCTTTCGGATGGTATATATTGTATAGCAAGAAAACAAGTATATAATAATATATTAGATTCATAAGCATTATTTTTATTCTATTTTCTATTATCATAGCAACTGTTGCTATGGCAACCATATCCCATATGCTAGAAATAATAGAAAATGTAGCTGTAAGTGCAAAAATCTACACCTAAAAAAATGATCTTTATTTTATAATAACGAGATAATATTAGCAAGTAAGTAATATTTAATAGAATACTATCTTGGCATAATTAAGATTAAAAATTATACCACTATACGATCTTTAAAATAATAGCAGTGAAAAAAAAACGATCACCCCTAATGCCAGACAGATTTCCCAGCTAAGATTTATGGGCTGAAGGGTTATATCTCAAAAGTCAGGCGGTTATAATAACCCAAATGGGCTACTTTATTTATTTTAAATTACACAAGCGTGGAAGACAAAAAAAAAGCTTTCTTTTCTTCGAATAAAAACAAAGCACGCGATTTTTCATAACAATGCAGTATCGTTTGAATATCACTTGAAGGTGGTCTATTACGCTACAGCAGACAGTGGAAACAAAAAGAAAAGAGGGGAGTCCATGAGGATCGGGCTTTAACAATCTGCTTCAAAAACTTGAATCCATCAACAATAAATCATCTTTTCGATACTTTGACAACCCAACAATATTGCGAGTGGAACAATAAACTAATCTTCTCAAAACAATAACTCCAAAAGTTTGATTTCCGGGACTAAACTTTCAAAACCATTTATTATGAATCTCAAATGAATCAACAACTTTATACATACAAGTTGAGCCTTCTCTAGAAAACGACATTACCAACATATTGACTTGCACGAGGTAAAAAACAACAACAGCAACAATATCCAACATAAAGAGAAATATCAGGGAATGCGCTCAACTGGTTGTGGATGGATATAATACTTTAGAGCAGCATCAGGAGCAATCCTTCCCCAATCTCCAACAGAGAGTATACGTGGTGAAAATAATGATAGCTTGCGAATCAAGAGTTTTGCGTGGTTCTCAGTTGCTTATTCAACAGTACACCAAGAAACCTTAAGCGATCCAAATATTTCGTCATTTTAAATTGCTAGTTGATAATGCGGCAATATCGTTTCTATTCAACTAGAAACCGTTTAAGCTTTTGTGTTGGGCCGTCTGTCTAATGGATATGGACTTCAGGATTTAACTTCATTCTGCGGATTCATCAATACGACTGATTGAAGTGAAGGAAAATAATGGTTAAGATTATTTTTCTTTTACTATATTTGCATCAAAATTTATAGATATTATATATAAATATATATAATACAGAGTACTACTAGCACTACTATTAAACACCAAAAAAAAAAAAAAAAAAAACGGCATAGTATTCAATTTCTACTGAAAACAAAGACCAATTTTATTCATGCTTTTCAGGCATGGTTGATTGACAATATCGGAAAAAATACATATAAACTATTTTAAAAATGACAAAGAAGATTTTGAGGATGTTAAAAGAATATGCATGTGTACAGGAAATGTGGGAGCTTTTTTTTGTATATCATGCTTCGAAATTACACTATTTAAAAATTAAATAGTTTACTATCATAATTAAAACTAAAAATAATCATTCAGCATTATCGGATCCCTTACGTATTTCCATCAATTTTGTTTTGTATGTAGCATTTGCTTTTCAAATGTTGTATTATACCCTTTGTCGAGGCAATCCAAAATCAATGCGCTGACATTGACGATATTGATATTGAGGCGGTGGGTATCTTCTGATAATCGATTGCTCTGTATTATGTCGTAAATAATTTATATTTTTGAAAAAATGTTGGCCATTTTGACGCATATTATTGGCAAATCCTAACCATTCGCCATGATAAGGATGGTGTTGATGATTATGTAAAAATGCAAGTAGCTGCGGTCGAACTGACACAGAATTATCTGGATTTCGTCCAGTAGCAACAAATGGCTCCAAATCTTCTGGAGCCATATTAATTGATCCTCCTTGAGGAAAAAGATCATCAAGAAATAGACGAAGAAGGCTCAGTGAATCGTTCGGATGAAGACGGTGCTGTGAAAATTCTCGAATAAATCTTGATGATGTGTTTGATCTGAATGCTGGTCGTGGTTGATGTCCTTCTGGTGCTGCTACTACTGGTTCTGGTACATTATGGCCCAACAGTCGTCGTTCATGTCTCCATAGTCGCATCAGGTTATGGCTATGAGGACTGGAGCCCATCTGGTTAAGAGATATGACAGCCATATTACCATTGACTCGAATTGGAATACCCGTCAGTGCTGTAAACCAATACCATCTGCAAGAAAATGAACGTGGTAAAATCGAGCGGTTTCAGGTGCATCAGGTGCAAAAATTCCTCGTTGAGGTCGAATTCTGACTCTAATATCTTCGTTCCCATCATTCCAGTAAAACACAATAGGGTTCGTACGAGGAACATACACCCTTTGATTCTCTAAGCTGTTACGGTACTCGTAAACTGACGCATCAAATGTATGTGGTCGTGCTTGCTCTAAGGCTGCTAGCCTACGGCGTCGTTGTGCTTGCGGAGCAAAATGGTTTTGCGGGAGGAATGTCATTGAATGACGAGACCACCGTGTTAATGAACGTCTGACAAGTTCAGGGTCTTCCATCCAGGTATCATCGTGAACATCTTCAGGGGGAAATCTAGTAAGAACGTTGTATAAGGGATGGCGTTCACGCATCACAAATGCTGATCGACGGAGAGAGCTTGTATAGAAATAAATTCCTTGATTAAGTGAACGGGCCCACTGAAGCCATTGTTCTTTGTTATTACGGCTAATATGTAAATGTAAATCCGGCAGATTTCTTTTCCAGAGTGCATTAACTTGAACTTCTCGGACTTCACTAAATGGCTGACCTTCTGCTTCTCCACCCAATTCGATTCGTTGTGCTGATGCCAATTCCAAGGCTTGTGTGTTGATATTGCGAACAGCTGGTCGTTGACGTAATAATCGCTGTTGTCGGTACTGTTGGTAATCATTTTTGGAAGCATTCAAATCATTATACAATTGTTGTAAGCGTGCATCAAGGGCTGTCGATTGTGGATTACATTGATTCCAAACCAACATCACGATTGTTTCGGTAGAATCAGTATTATTGCCTTGTAACACACGTACAGTTATTTCATTAATAATTGTTGTTATTGCCCAAGTAAGATCAATGATTTGTAAAAGTTGTTGAGAACGTGCACCATATTTTGGAAATCCTGGATCTATATGTGGAATTGCGATTGTCGATTGGTCATTCGGAAGGGCATCTTCATCTCTGTTGTACAACCATTCTAAGGTAGGATAATGAACAATTCGTGGAACACCAACATATCCTATATAACTCTCAGTTGTCATGATTCCATGAGTATGTAAAAAGTTAGCAAAGGCAGCTGAAGAGACCTCATATGGCATGGTTGAGATAACAATTGGAGACCAAAGATGAAGATACAGCCGTAATTGATTCAAAGCTGGTGCTGCCGAGTTACTAGTACCTACAATAGTGAAAATGTGTTAAAAAATAAATATAAACAGTATAATGTGTCAGCCCTTATATATTTGTAAGTGTTTTTTTTAAACAAAAAGGTAAAACAAAATAGCAAGTGCTTTTAATAATTATTTAATTACCTAACCACGGGTACATATCAATGAATGGAAACGCTTGCTGGACCAAAGTCTCATCGTTATTGTTCCATTGTCTACAATTCTGTGACCAGGCACAAAGTCGAAATAAATTTTCTCGTGTCAATGTTGGAGCATAACCCGGATTATTAGTGAGAAAACGAGATGGATTGTTAAACGCATTTAAGGTAACATCTTTTCCAATTATTATTGAAACGACTCGATCATTGATTAATCTTTGCGGTGTTGCTTGATTGGCAATGGCTTCAATATAATCATGAGACATGGGGTTGTTAATTGTATCTGTGGCTTCTCTATTAAATCTAGCTTGCATTGATAATTCATGTACCCAGTGACCCATTGATTCAATAATCCATGGTTCATTGTCGGTAAGATTTGAATGTGTAAAAAAGTCTTGAAAAAAAGTTGTAGGGTATAGTTGTTGGTGACGAATAAATATTGGGCGTCGTGGCATATATGATGCGTGCGAGCCGCCGGGTTGTTGATTCATCAAGTTGTCCAAACCAAGAAAATTAATAATAATCTGCTCACGGAGATCGATGTCACGAGCTGTAGCTGTACCAGCTTGATAATGAGCGGCATTTAACTCAAAAAGAGTTGCTTGATTAAATGCTATAACGTCAACCTGTCGTAAAGCCTGCAAAAAATACCCAAGAACACCACCTGCACGCGCAATATCTTCAAGATGTCGGTCAACCGGGGTTGTGGGGCCAGTACATCTACCCACGTATCGTATATAAAGTGGCTGATTGGGATTTTGAGTGGCATAATCAAGCCAACTTTCAACTTCTTCAAACTCCAATGC